TGTGAGGTGTTGGCTGAAAATCAACTCGTATTTCAGGCCAGAATAGACAACATGTGGCCAGATAGAACCAGAGAAGGGAGGAAAGATTGAGAGAGAAAGAGAGAGAAGAGAGAGAGAGAAATAGAGAGAGAAACAAAGCGAGAATAAACGAGCGAGAGAGCGTGCGAGAGGGTGCGAAGTGGGTGAGAGAGGAAGAGCGAGTTCGAGACCGCGAGAGCGAGAGAGAGAGAGAGAGAGAGAGAGAGAGAGAGAGAGAGAGAGAGAGAGAGAGAAAGAGAGAGAGAAAGAGAAAGAGAGCGAGAGAGATAAATAAAGCGAGAATAAGCGAACGCGAGAACGTGCAGAGAGTGCGAAGTGGGTGAAAGGGGAAGAGAGAGGAAGAGACCGAGATAGAGAAAATGCTGCAAAGACCTTTCCATCGTTTGTCTGACTGTCTGTCTCGCCCTCTCTCTCATTCGTGAGAATTAACAAATAGTTGTTGGCTGATCTGACATTTAAGAATTCAATGATTCAATTCTCCAAAAAAATATTTTCAAATACATCAAATCACGGAATATCGATGAAGGATTCAATTTTCGAAAAATGTGTAGCTAGAGCGGGACAAGGGAAATGGGCTGTCGGATCTACCGCGAAAAGCCACCCATCCGGCTTGATCCGCCTTACAGCAGCTGACACCAACTGTTCCATTATCACATCCCTGATATCAAGAACGGCTACTTTCGAAACACCGACCCCATTACTGTTACACTCCACCTACAGTTTTACACTTTCGTACTGGCGATCGGACCATTATCTTCCAGGAATGGAACGACGATCGGCGGGGCTGGTTGGCCGATCGCACTATGGCAGCTGACGCACAAAATACAAGGAGATATGGCAAAAGATCGACGTATAACTCTGCTAGATTTAACTTTGCCTTAACCATACAGGATGTCCCAATAAAAAAACACCCCTCCCCCCCCCATCGGATCGGAACGAAATTTACACCATTTGCAAGCTAGTTTGAAACACGCTTCAAAACCATGTATCAGGTCGAAACGAAAGTTCTGTCGCCGAGATTTTGGAAGGCTGGCTAAATTCGTAGATAGCTCCATTCTGCACATGCGATATGTCATTTTGTAGCTCTCCGCCTGAACGGTTTTGGGAGGAGGATCCTGGACCGCCAAAATCAAGGACAGCCGAGATACAGGCCCAAGAAGTTTTTCACAAAATCACCAAAAAAGTGTTTTTGCAAGTTATCTCTGCATAGAGCCATTTGCATGCGATACCTTTATCGCCAATCGATAGCTCTCGAGGAGTAGTTATCGATAGATGTTGAGATCGCTAAAATTGGACACTGGATGACCGAGATATCGCCCATTGAAATTTGGCCCATTTCTTAGAACTTTTCCCAAAATCCCATACATTTCCAAAATTTGACGGACCGGAGCCGAAAATTGCCGCTTTATTTTTGGACTAGCGGAGCGGATTTTGAAAAAATGTATGGGAAATCGGGAAAGTTCTAAGAAATGGGCTAAATTTCAGAGGCCTTTATCTCGGTCATCCAGTGTCCAATTTGGACGATCTCAACATCTATCGATATTTACTCCTCGAGAGCTATCGATTGGCGATAAAGGTATCGCATGAAATGGCTCTATGCAGAGATAACTTCCAAAAAACACTTTTTGGTGATTTTGTGAAAAACTTCTTGGGCCTGTATCTCGGCTGTCCTTGATTTTGGCGGTCCAGGATCCTCCTCCCAAAACCGTTCAGGCGGAGAGCTACAAAATGACATATCGCATGTGCAGAATGGAGCTATCTACGAATTTAGCCAGCCTTCCAAAATCTCGGCGACAGAACTTTCGTTCCGACCTGCTATTTATTTCGCTGGCCATTTTAAAAGCCATTTAGTAAAATTTTGAGATTTTTCCCGGCTGCACCCGCGTTCATTTGTCTCAATTTCTTTAAGCAAATTGACTGGAATTAGGCGTTATTTAGTTGTACAGGGCCGTTCGCTCGTCCGATGCTGCGTCCAGTGAGGGGGGAGTGTTTTTAATGGGGCGCATGCTAACTGTACGCGTCCTCGGATCCGGGCTCACCAGTTTGAAATTCGATTCAAGAATGAAATTAAGTTCGAGGATTTGAAACCCCATTTCCAACTCAACCCACCGTCATCATCACGATGCCGTAACTCTCCCCCATACGGGCGAAATCCATTAGTCATAAAACCATTAGTCATAACCTCATTAGTCATAAACACATTAGTCATAAATTCATTAGTCATAAATTCCAATAGTCATAAACCCATTAGTCATAAATTACATTAGTCATAAACCACCTAGTCATAAATTTTATTAATCGTAGATTTAGAGGTTTGAGTGTTGAGTTTTGAGTTTTGAGTTTCGTGGTTTGAGGTTTGAGGCTTGAGGTTTTGAGGTGTATGTGATGGTCCTTGTCGTGTTCTCGAAGCAAACTTCTTGGTTGCACGTGATCGGATATCATTAAACCTATTAATTTTGGATTTGTTAACGGGATTATGTCAGAGAATAACATTTCCAAGCAATCAGTTTCATAACATTTATGACTATTGGAATTTATGACTTTTTAATTTATGACTAATGGAATTTATGACTAATGAGTTTATGCCTAATGGAATTTATGACTAATGGGTTGATGACTAATGGAATTTATGACTAATGGGTTTATGACTAATCAATTTATGACTAATGAGGTTATGACTAATGGTTTTATGACTAATGGGAGGCAATCCCCCCATACAACCCCCACCGTGTTAACTACGACTGTGTTCACCCCAATTGAAAATGATTCGTTCTTTTTTACTTTATTTCGTTTTGAAAATGGTGTCATTCGGATTGTACGGATTTTTAGAGCCTCTTGATTTTCAAGGGAACGTGACAGCTAGAAAATCTACGTGTTGCTATCGCTTTAAGCCGAAAAACCCGTATTTTTTTTGATTAGCACCATTGTAAATTAGTTTTTGAATTTTCGTTCATGATTTTTGTGTATTAGGTGCTAGCAAATTGCCCCCTCCTCCTCCCTATTATCCCAACATAAAGCAAAAATGGGTCCCGCAGCGTCTAGAAAACAATTAATACATACAATTAGGCCGTTCATTCATATATTGGGTCGCGCATTACCTTTCGCCCTTGTTTTAAAACTATTTTTGTTTATGTAAATTTTGTATTTTGCTCTGGGAGCCCCCGTCGCGCCTCGCCCACTGTGAAACATGGCCACCAAAAATAATTCCTCGCCTTCATTGGTCATTTTTCCACTTGTACTATTTACGCCCAGAACCATCTCTGTAAAATCTCTGAACCATCTCTGCAAAAAAGGGTAGGTTTTGCTTCGTCGACGCTGATAAAGGCATACAAATTGGAGCCTTAAGGATACGGCATTATTGTACCTAACCCAAAAATACCGTACTCTTCAGGATCCCGAGCTTTGTTTGATGTAGTTTGTAGCATGGCGTTTTCTTTTGCATTGTATCCCGGCTACCACACCTTCCAAAAAACCATGGATTTTTCTTCCCAAGCCAATTTGTGATGAACACGAACCATTTGGCCCTTTTTCTTGTGGTAATTTTGCTTTTTTTCTGGTATTTTTCTGATTTTTTGACGCGTCGCAATCCACTGGCCTACTTGGTTTTTGGAATTTTAACCAATAAAAACCCTTTGAAAAATGTACTTGTTGCGGGAATAAATGGCTTGTTGAAGTTTCGAGATGCAAAAGACGCCTGGAAACTAAAAAAAACATCGTTGTGTATACGAACACTTAAAACACGAGAGAAAAATGCAGAAGTTTTTGGCGAGAACCTCGACTAGCAAAACGAAAAAATCCTCGGTTTGATCAGCCTCATTTTTTCGCGCTTTTACATCTTTATTTTCCAACCAGCGCCCAAAACCCGCTTCGCGGGCCTTGGGCGCTGGAATGCGGTTTTTGCATGATAAATTTGACTTTCCGACCACTCGGGTCCTTCGACCCCTCCCCTCTGCCGACCACACGGGCGAGTGCAACTGGCAAGAATGAGGAAATTTGAATTTTCGCATTATGCAAATTAGCCCTCAGGGACCCTCAAAAATGAATAAAACCGGCTTTATCTTTGTAAACTTGCATTTTATTGAGATTCTGAGAACGCCATCGGAAACAGAAGAGTCGATTCCCTCGGGGGACGGAGAATTAGGGCATTTTGGACACGGGAAGGCCCTCAAATCGGGCCTCGAAACTGACATCCACACACACACACACACAAAGATACGCGACCAAATTATATAAGGTAGGACTTGACGATGGAACGTATAAGGTCGCACGATTTTACATTGCATGAAATCACGCCAGAACTGAGTTAGGAATTACGGGCTTCTTAGGTCCAAAGATAGCTCCGGGTCCAATCCGCAAAAGAAAGTGCTCCGGGCGGGGGTCGAACCCGCATCCTACGGCTTTCGAGTCCGATGCTCTACCTATTGAGCTACCGGGGCACGCGAATGCCTCTCTCAGGGCAGCTATCCATGCCAGCCCAACCACTGATCAAACTCTTTTGGATCAACATAAAATAGAAATCCTTAAGACTTGCGTTTTAAAGATTGACCAGTCTGATTATATATTACTGAAGACAAAGCTGCAAGATTTAAATATTTCAACTACGATTAAACGACGTTGTCAGCCAAACTGGGGGTGATGTGGCTGAGCATTCAAGGGGATACGCCGATGACAGCATCCGTCGTTTCCTTACCAATACCGTCGGTAAACAGACAGTCGCATTGTTTGACCTGTTCCTTTCCAACGGTGAAATCTTTCCCTTACATCCGTAAACAAACAGTCGCTTTTCTTGGGTAACCTATTTACTGCACAGTATAAAGGTTCCGGGTTTTCCCGATTTCAATTCACATAGTGGCCCCGATGCCTTCAGAAGTGTCTCCTCATTTCTGCTCACCTCAGACTTTCTCCTTTACATAGCCTGTGTGCCTAATATATCAACGTTTCTTGCAGGTGACCGGTCAGGAATGGGCAACCTTACCAACAAGCAGATCCACAGTCACATCCATGTAAGCCAGAAACAAGCATCGGCGCTGTCCAACACAATGGGCGCCGGTTCTGGCCGGTCTCCGTGCCAGATCGCACAAATGGCACTGGCGGCACCGGATGAGAAGTCGCATCCCTTGGTGCTGTCCTTTATACGCGTGAGCAGCGCAGAGGAGATTTCGCGTGTGTGTGACGCGAGTGGCATTCCGGTACAAGCGAAGAATGAGGCAATCTCCGAGTTCGGCAAGGGCCACCACGATCGAGCGGCCACCATCCTCGTCGCGGCCGCTGAACAGAAACTACGCGAAAGCACGCGGGAGCTCTCCGGGCAGGCTGGTGGCAAGCGTATGCTCAAGTCCGAGCATGGCACCTTTATGAGGTCGGTTACCTTTTTCTCGTCTAATAGGCATCTTTTCGAGCCAAGTTAGCGCTTCGGGAAGCTTTAAAAAACTGCCCGAATTTTAAAACGTTTGACTACAGGTTCGTGGAATAACCCACTCGAAAGAGCGTCTTTTTCTAACCCAAAAAGTCTTAGCTTTTAAAAGTCTTTCACAAGTATTTTGGAAGGATTTAAAGTCCGGGCTTTTCGACGAAATTCAAGCGAAGAAGCGGATTAACCTTCTGAAGTCAGGCTTTTGTGGTAAAAAAAAACTGAATGCGAAGTCGGACCGGGGAAAAATTGGGCACAAAATAGGGTTTCCGATGGTTCCCCCTCCCTTGCTCACCTCCCCCTCCCGCGCGAAAGGGGGATGGTAAGCCTAACTATAAGTGACTTTCAGGGCGTACGACGGAGAGTGGAAGGTGGATCTGATGCGAGGAGAGCCACGGGACTGGGAGCATTGGTACGTCGAGGACTGGGGCAGCAAGGTCAGCGAGCAAATATCACATGCTTCGGTCTAATAAAATTCGACTGACATGTGCCTTGCAGGTGGTCTTCAAGGCAATCCATTCGCCTGGTCGCTTTCTGCGTGCACGGGCCGATGGGAAGGTGGACCTCGTGCCAACGCATCCCAACGAATGTCCAGCCTCGAAGTGGAAACCGTTCAAAAACTCAGACGGCAGTTGGTCGTTCCTCAGCATTCATGGAACGTGGCTGAGGTAAGCCGCGAGCTGAATTCTCTATATCACACTGCCTTCAGTGGGCTCGGAAACGACACCGTGTGTTGTATGTGGGAATGCAAGTCGTCGGAGAAATTCACCTTGCCCTGGTGGTAAGCGGATGGCCGCCCCGCATGACTCTATCGTCAATAACCACCGAGCGAAAAGGCTTTTGTCAACTTGCTCAACTGTGAACTTTTGTGTCTTATCATTGTTACCTGAATTGCAAAAAAGACCTGTTTCTAAGGGATGCCCGTCATTACTTTGAAAAGTCATTAATTCCAAGAGTCATTACTTCGAAAAGTCATTACTTCCAAAAATATGCTTAGCAGGTAGGCTAATTAGTACTTTCGCCCATACCTGCCTAGTCGTAACATATAATGTTTTTTCATACCCCTTTAGTAGTTTCTGATTGCCATACAATTGTAAAAAAAGCATTTTGAACATTAAAACAAATGGTATGGTACCGCGGGATGGTTGGCCTTCGAAGTTATGATTTCGGTGCTATGAAAAATTCTAAATTACCTTACCTGCTAACCATATTTTTCGAAGTAATGACTTTTCGAAGTAATGATTTTCGAAGTAATGACGTCCCCCCGCTTCTAAGTGATTGTTCTCTTCTTCGATGAAAGCGTTATAGAGGACATCGCCACATCCCTGTTTGCGTTTTCATGTCTATTCCTCTTTACCTTCCGTCTCCTACCTAATGGCTGCCGTAATGGTGCGCAGAAACGACACAAATCCACCACTCCCACCCCTCGAAAACCCTTGAAAAATGTACCTTTTGCAAAAATAAATTCCTTGTTGAAGGAAGAGAATGGAAACTGCAGCGAGCAGAGAATTTTTCGGAATTCACCGTTACTGCAAAGCGTCGACGACAGCCTAGGCTTTAGGATAATTAATCGCAGCTGACTCACCCTGTGCGGTGACTCACCTATCTTAGGTTTTTGCGGCGTGTCCTATCTTTGGTGCGAAAAGCCACCCATACGGCTTGATCCTCTCCCAGCAGCTGACACCAACTGTTCCATTATCACATCCCTGATATCAAGAACGGCTACTTTCGAAACACCGACCCCATTACTGTTACACTCCACCTACAGTTTTACACTTTCGTACTGGCGATCGGGCCATCCCGCGCTAATTTGGCTCATTTTTTCTAAGCAAATTGGCCGGAATTAGCCGTTAATTCACACCCAATACAGCTAAACAACGAAGGTCCAGGGCGAAGGCCGGCTACGGCATAATTCAAATGACGTAGCGTCGTAACGAGTATCATAACGTACCACCTCGTTTGCCAACAATTTAGCATATAATAAATTTTCAGCAAAATAAAGGTTTTAACGTTTAATTTGTATTTTATCGTTTTCAGCGTACTTTTTTACCCAGGTCCCGAAATTTTGGTGTTTCCTGGATGAATTTCACCAAAATTTGCTTTTATCTCGAGAATCTGACGTCATGAGTAATAACCTAGCTCATTTTCAGAATCAGCACAAAAAATAGTCTATTTTGGGTACCCTAGCAGCCCCGGATGTGGCAAAACAGCACGTAAATCCACAAGGTTGATGCGCGAAAATCGGGCCTTTTTCAGAACGAAAGATTTCATGGATCGAATTGGCCGTTTTTATGCTCAAAAAATCCGCGATAATTTGTTCTCTAAAATAAATCATGAAATGGTTGATGAAAAACGAGTTTTAAAGATATTTTTAATTATTTCGAACTTTTACTAGCATTTTTCGCCCCTTCTCTGAGCCCCCAGACCCGACCAAACCCTTTTACCCTAATGCCGTGACCCAATGACCGTAGCACCAGAAAATCCGCCCAGCGATAATACGACACAATCCGTTTACGAATTCCGTAATGAGTGTACTTGGACTTCGTTGCAGGTTTAAGTAAGGCTGTGGGGCTGTGAATTAGATGCACAGGACCGTTCGCTCGTCCGATCCGATACTGCGTCCAGTGAGAGGGAGTGTTTTTAATGGGGCACCCTGTAGATATTAGGCTTGTTTGTTTTCTCCCTCTCAATTTTGCTGTTGTGCTATCCGCTACTTCTTTGCCAAAAAAATTATTAAACGCACAAATCTTCACAACTAAGATCCACTAGGAAAATTAATAAGCTAAGCGGCAGGGAAGAGGTAACACAAAACTACAGCATAGATTTTTTTTGTGTGTCATTGGGTGGTATCGGTAGAATGAGATAGAAGTGGGAGCGACACACGACGCAAGAGTAAACTTGAGAGAGCGAAGGCGATAGAAAGAGAGAAAGAGAGAGAGAGAGAGAGAGTGAGTGAGAGAGGGAGAGAGGGAGAGAGGGAGAGAGGGAGAGATAGAGATAGAGAGAGAGTGTGATCGACAGAGCGAATCCATAGAAAATGTTTTTTTTTCACATCTTTTTAGTAAATTTTAACTATATTTAAAGTAGAAAAACTGCCAAAAAAGTTAGAAAAGGTTTGAAAAAGTAAAAAATTTGGTCATTTTGGATGCTTCTCCCCCCGCGTATTCCAAAGGTTCTAAACGATTTTGCGACTAAAATTAAATTTTTGTAATTAAGATTCTTTTATCTTTATGCTTAGGAATAGTTCAAAACAATTTAAAAACGCATCCGCTATTTATAAAAAAGTTTGGGCATGTGCCGAAAAAAATTTGGTTCCCCACCCCCGGCCATCCCTTCCCCCCGCGAATCCTAAAAAACCGCCAAAAAATTTCAACCCCGTGCCAGGAGAGATTCAATCTATGCGGTCCTTATCCCTTTAAAGCTGGTTTTAAAGGCATGGATGAGCACCGATTCGTGCAGAGCACTTGCCGTCATTGCGTCGTAAAAAGAACAAATCGAAGATCAAAGTGCGCTCAATATACCTTTCTGAACCTATTCTAGGATTATGTCGACTTCTCTTAATAGCGTTACAGCGTTTATCGAAACAGTATATTGCTCCCAGCACATCGAAGTATAACAAAACGATATTTTTTTCACGCATCTTGCGAAAGTTCCACTGTGTAATTTAAACAAGTGCCAATCGTGAGCCGTCGTCCATCACCTCTAACAAATTGAGCCCGCTTGCCAATTTCCGGGGCGTTCACCGCCGGAACTGGGGGATAGGTTTGTAAGCGGATATAACGGATCTCCCGGACTCCCGCCTTCCATTCCGCAATGAACGTGTCGATTAAGGGTTCAATATTTCTGTCTGGCCCATCAAAACCTATTCTCATCGCTGGGCAGGTAACCGCTTTTACCGATTCGGTATCATGACAGCTTATCCACGCAGACCCTGCTCGACTGACGACTTTTGCCCATTCGGGTCTGATACTTTTCATGTTGATTATGTGAAACATGTCGTCGGGCCAATTGAGTGGACGATTCAGATATGCAAGCGGTTCCTTTAGCCATAATCCGGTATCTGTGGGCAGTTGAGGGCAGTCCGCCACATAGTTTTCTGTAGGTTCATCGGAATCTTCGATTCGATTGAGTCCACGCCCGTGAATGCAGAGGGATCGATGAGTGCCAAGAAAAACGTCATAGCCCTCATTAGCCGGCGATTTCTTGGCTAGCTCCATCAAATAGCGGCATGTCCGCGAATATCGGATGAGGGTCGACACGTCTCCAGCGCAAAGGAATTCTAGTAGTCGACGGTGAAAGGGGAAGGGCAGGTCGAGGAAGTCCATGGAGGCTTATCTGAAAATGGAATTTTAGGATTGCTAATCATTATATTGCGTTTAATTGGGGGACGAATACGTTTGAAAATGAAACGGATTTTCGGAATGCTAAAAATTCCAAGTTCGTCAGATTCGAAAGCGAAAAACTTGAATTCGGTTTTGAAAACTGATTGAAAACTGATACGGGGACATGGAAAGCTAATGGAAAATTATATAATTGATGCCTGCCGCATCACCAAGCCGAAAAACGAAAAGAATCGATGAAAAGGGGTGGCGCAGAGCATCTGCTGCTCGGTGTTAAAGTCGAAGCACTGATAGCAGGTGACCGGTGTTCAAAAGGGTAGCATGCAACGCCATTAATTCAAAATCGATCCTCCACAATTTGGTTGTGTAATCACATCGCTTGCCAACGCGTGAAGTTGCGAAAAATGTTGCAAACCCGCTGCGTCTGAAGCGTCTGGACTTCGGCCGAAGCCTCCGCTCCCCCCCCCCCTCAACCCGCCCGCGCTGCACCTGGCTCACTATGCCCTCAGCGTGCGTTTTAACAAATTACAAATGCAGATTTTTCACTTAAAAGAATTTTCGAGTTCTGATTTTGAACATTTGGACTCGGCAGGGTCGAATGGACCCGGGACCGTTGAGACCTAAGCTCCAGCTCCTTCCCCTCTCGCGTTGACTTTGACTACAGACAGAAAGGCATCACAGCAAAATTATTATATCGCACAAAATGATGGACTGACCTTTGAGTACGGACTCTTCGAAGGTTTGATTGACGAATTTTCGAAGAACTAGATCGTTTCCTGAGGAATCTGAGGAAGTTTCGATGCAGGTGTCACGCTTCCTTTAATCAACATGTTCTTTAACTTTCTGTCACGCTGTCTTTAATGTCAAAAAAGCCTTACTGTAAAGTGTTTTTACTCAACTTGGAGTTTCGATTCGGGACCAAGCGCATCTTGTGCAGAATTTTTCGCTGATTCCGAATATGTTTTCCAAATTTGCTACGGACTTTTATTTAAAAAATCATTTTTGGTAACAATTAGGCCGAAAAATGCCAAAAATTCAGACGCTGGCCCACTATTCCTTGTTTGGGGCTATGGTGCCCAGGGGCCCTGAAGTACCCTCTGACAGCACCCTACCCAGTTGGCACCATGGTGCATTGGCAAAGTACTCGCTTGCCAAGCGCAGGGCGGCGGTTCGAACCCCCGCCCGGCGTCTTTTGCTTTTTGCATAAAAATCTCATTTTTTTATCTAAAATGCTTGTTTTGAGCTGTAGGATGCTTGTCGAGCCAACGCCTAGTCAATTTTGACGTTGAAATTAATGAAGAAAATCGAAAACTATAACGATACCTTCATTTTGGTTAAAACTAGGTTCATAATTACCGTATAACTTTCAGAATAACGGTCCGTAGCAAATTTGGAAAACATATTCGGAATCAGCGAAAAATTCTGTACAAGATGCACTTGGT